GGATGAAGAACGAGTCACTAAAAGGTCGCAAACGTGCTGGCTTTTTATTAACAAAGTTGGTTTTGTGTGAAAATCTGGCTAGCGTTTACACCTGTCCTTTTTCGGCAAAACCACTGGAATGTGTCCTTTAACGTGAACCGAGAACCGTTACCAACGTGCTTTGCGATTCGTTTTCGTGACAATTTTGAATTTTCGCCTGACCTTGACGTCAACTACTTCCATTTGACGAATTGCGGTGCTAAGTGGGTCAGGGAGGAGTTACTTCAAGCAAATTTTAGACTACCTAAAATGTGGAGTCATTTTTATCATTCAGACCTGGTTTTAGTATAATGGACTCCATTTGTGGCTGATAAACGCTACAAAATTGCCTAATCCCATGGAATTTACGAGACCTGTGGAGGCGTCACTGTCGCCAATTTCATTTCCGTGTCTGTTAAATTGCATCACCAATTTGCTGATATTATAAAAAGGTTTGTATCTGCAAAATTTCGTGGAGAAAAATATACATTCCAGCTTTCTGGTATTTAATATTTACCTTTATCAAGTGAATTTTTTTTGTTCAGCTACATCACTGTGATACACGACCTTCTACCCAAACAACTAGCACTAAAATTAAACACTATAGTAAGGACCCAATTGTACTGCACTCGTTTTTCGACAGAGTGAAGTTATACCAATTTTATGAAGTCCGATGCGTTGATTTGACTTATATACATGACTGGTAATTTTTTTTAATTCACCAAAACAGGAAAACCGGCTAACGGAAATGCTAGTCTGTGATTGGTGGGGGGATCACCACGATGAATTTTCCACAGCAATCGCGGTAAATTGGGCTGTGAAATTTTACGTTGGTAAACAGGGTGTGGTGAAGGATGTAATTTATCAAAATGAATGAGTAAAGTCCAATGGATAAAAAATTGTGTCGCCCGTCTCGCAGTTTTGCACACGGCAGTGCCTTAGACACAACTGACTAAATGATATCCTCCAACCGCAATTAACTAAGCCCTGATTGGTTCCTCCGGCAACCAATCAGAATGCAGACTGCGTGGCTCGGTCAGAGACGACACCAGGTGTGCTGTCATTGTCCAAACTTTACATGCGCGAACTGAAATTAGACGTCGAATGCTCGTCCTGATCCCGGTCTCACCGTCGCTGACAACTGCCAAAATTACCTGTTCATGGATCTAATAGCTCATCTAGTGGTTGCCATTTTAACATGCTGGACCAAGCTGGCAGGAGTTTGGCGTTATCATTGCCACTTCTTCTAATCTCATTGTCATTCATGTCGACACTCGAACTCCCAAGACTATCAAGAAGGGATCTTCCGCAGGTTTTGTTCAGTGTGAAGGAGAACACGGAGCCGGGTCATGTTGTGGGAAGTATCTACGACAAAATAAGTCTGCCACTTGATCGAAGGCTTCAGTTTTTCCTACCAAAAAACCCCTTTTTTACCTTCGACGCAGATGGTTCCTTGGTAGTCACGGGACACCTTGATCGAGACGACAATCCGAGCCTATGCAAGGAGCCGGTGTACCCGGAGATCTGTGAGTGGAGCAATTTCCTTATTGATAATACTGGGAGCTATATTTCCCTGCGTGTAAATATTGAAGATATAAACGACAATGCCCCTCGTTGGCCCACTCCCTCTGTAACAATTACGATTCCCGAAAACAGCGCACCCAATTTCACCACGGAATTGTCACCTGCCCACGATCCTGATTACGGGGAGAATGGGATTAAGGAGTACAAGTTGATCACGCCTTCTGCGTTCGAAGATACCTTCCAGCTAAGAATTAGTCCGTATCAGTCAGCAAATCTTAAGCGGTATCAGACACGTGACCAGCAACGACGCCAAAAGTCAGCTGTTCCAATAGGCAGTCCCAATCTAGTGCTGATGAAGCCGCTGGACAGAGAGGAACTTCCGTGGATTAATCTGACCCTATTAGCCATTGATGGAAGCCCTCCATTTCACACGGGCAGCCTCGATATCTATGTGCGTGTTGGCGATGAAAATGACAACTCGCCCTACTTCACATTCCAGCGTTACGTAGCTCAAGTACCGGAGATTGCACCTGTTGGAAGTATCATCCAACTACATCCAATTTCGAGTAATCGACAGGCGGATGATAATGGCGGCACAGTCTCGTTGGTGGATCATGTCCACGCGGTGGACAGAGACGAGGGAGCCAATGGAAGGATATACTACTCCTTCGCCAGATCCACTCCGCTAGAGACTCAAAAGTCTTTCGCAATTGACAGTCAAACGGGTCAGCTGAGAGTAGCGTCACCACTGAGTTATGACGATGGTCCGACATCGTGGAATTTCCAGGTGGTTGCTACTGACAACGGCAGACCCCCACGCTCCTCCCTCACAGATGTCTCTATTCAACTGAAAGACACTAACAACCACGCTCCAAGCATAACCATCCAGTCATCCGCGTCCCACCAGGCGCCACACAGCCAGACCGACAGCTCGGAGGAGTCGACAACACTTCAGGTGATGGAGAATGTGAAGTTGGAGCGGAAACTACTAGCCACATTGACAGTAACTGACCGGGACACTGCTGCTGGCGGTGGTGAATTCGGGTGTTCGCTGCGTTCAGAGGACAGTGAGCACTTCTTGTTGGTGTTAAAGGGCCAACTGCCCCAGGTCATGATCTACGACCTCTTCGTTAGCGGCGTCTTTGACCGCGAAAAGGGTCCAGTGAGACACGTGGAGGTGCACTGCGAAGACAAAGGCACCCCAAGGCTCTCCTCAAGTCATCTAATTCGGATTCTCATCGACGACGAGAATGACAATAGTCCAAGCTTCGAGTTTCCGTTCTACCGACTTACGGTAAATTCACAAATTCACCTTTAATGACGTCTTCATGCTAATTGCAGCCATGGCTTTGTTCGACTTCTCACGAAAATTTTAATCCAGGGTAACAAGACAATGCTTGCCTCAAGTAGGTTAAACTCAGGCTACGATGCTACCATGCAATGACCTTTTAAAATCGCTCTTGTGAGCCTAATCAATATTTGTAAAACCGGTTTGATATAGTTGGAAATTATAAACGATGCTAGTCCACTGTTTGAGAATTAGGGTAGAACCGACAGTTTCGAAAATGAGTTTTGTAAGGTAGACATACTTATTCTTCGAAATCACATAAGAAAACAGTTGGCTTTTGAAGTGGCCTTGATTTAAAATCACACTGCAACCAATTATTGGTGTTGTTACATGGCTATGCAACATTGTGACCAACCGTTTATAATGCTCCTGAGTCAGTACGAAGATGACATGCAGTCATCCGTCCCAAATCGAGTTCTAGACAACTGTTAGAAGACTTTGGGAGGGACAAGTAGATAATCGTATTGGAGCATTATAGATGACGAACGTCAGCATGTATCCATCTGTTACGTAGGCTTTCAATTACGGTGTAGATCTTAACTGTTTGGAAAAAATCAAACGTGTTTAAAGCTACTCGTTTAACTTCAAATTGCTGAGTCACTTCAACACGGTGGCTACTCAGATGTAGTTGTTTGGGTCTAAATTGGCGGGTACCAATTTCACTTCATTAATTAATACTGATTTAGAAAAGGTCAGCTGGCAATCATTACTACTGCATAGAGTGCACCAATGGCTGCCTTGTGCTTTTGAATCTATCACGATAATTGCTGCATTGTTGACACAGTCGAATCAGCATTTGATTTGTGTTCATTGGTTGGCATATCATTCAATTTCAATCGACATAATGCGAGCTCTGCGCGATCGATAAAATAATTTGCTTTCATTGGATGGCTCCAACATGTTGGTGTTTAATTCTCATTGATGAGAGAAATATGCACACTTAACTGGACATAGTACTAACCTATAGTCGTCCCAGTTTGTTTAAATTGATTTGTGTGCAGTGTTTAAGAAGTTTGCTAAAATCTAGCTCATTCCCAAAGGAGTGTCAAATAGTGGTCTAACATATTTCGAGATAATGACTCAAATCTAAGAAATGAATCTGGCGTTAATTAATCTTCCAGCACTGAGAATAGAGAGCTGGAGGCATAGAACGGAATCTGTGACGCATGGTTACCAGCCGCGTCCAATGAAAGTGACGCAATGTGTCTGGTTGGATGATTGCAGAGGATTCAATTTGTACAAACTTCTTCCACTTGGCCAAAACCACTAACTGCGCAGAAGTGCTGTAAGCAACTCACCACACTCAAAGCTCAAGTTTTAACAAAATATTTGCATTTGGCGCCGCAGTTTGCCATCAACAATATCTCATGGGGAGTCCTTTGAGAATCTATAACCCCATACAGTGAATTCATGCTGAGTACATCATCGAGCCCTCTAATAGGGGAAAAGTTTTAAAAGAAAATCGCTGATTTTAAAATTGGTCCGACAAACCACGGTGCATTATTAGAGTTCTTGGCATCCTGTCATTAATGCCTGTTATTTAAAATGAGCATTACCATGCGGTGGTTTTGTGCTTATGAGTTCCGAGTGCACTATTAACAAAAATTGCTAAGCGCTGAGACAATTGGTTACCTTGATACTGCAAATTTAATTTTGAGCAAAATCGACCAATCAGAATTCAGTCTTAGAAAAGTGAGAGTCTTGAATTTTTATTATTAATTACCTTCATTGCAAAATACCATAATGGTAGGATTCGGCAGTTAAATCGAGCTAAATGTAGTGTGAGTTTGATTGTGACATTTTTGCTTCATTTAAGACGAAAGAAGGTCAGCCAAAGGGAAGCATCGTTGGTCAAGTGAGGGCTACAGATCCTGACGCAGGGGAGAATTCCCGTCTCGTGTACGACATTCAGTGGCCGAAAGGAACTCGTGGGATGGACAAAGTCCTTAACATCGACAGGGACGGCAATCTCACCGCGAAGGTCACGCTGGATCGCGAAGCTGCTCCGTATGGATATAATCTAACAGTAAGCTCGGATCTTGTGGCGTTGTTGCTTGTGTTTTAGTGCTATGAATCAGTGTCTAGTCTATTTATGTGAACAAATAATCGAATTTTTGATCAGTTAACTTGCGACCAATGAGAATCGAGCATGTGTAGGTGTTCTAACGGAAGCAATTGGTTCTAGTTCGGAAACTGGGAAGGCAGAATGTGTGCCGCTTCGCAGTTGAATGACTGTCTTCGTTGGGATTCTCTTAGTAGATATCAGGAATCCCGTGTAATATATTTTGCATTTTTATTAGCCAATCAAATTAGAGGTAGGTGTAGGCTGAGCTTTCCCTTAATTTAAGGGTGTGTTTTAAAGCGCTCCTAGTATTAAAATGTCGAAATTCAAAAACCCCACAATTTTACATATATGGAGATAAAAAACTCTATGATTTAATCCTGAAAGCATCTAAATTACGACAATAAAATGAATCGGGTGAACCCAAGACACTTTAAACAAGCCCATGCATTTTGGTTACGATGTTTAGTTCTGTTTGCTTCCAGCATTTGGAAGAATGAAAAATTACACGATTCCTTAACACGTTTGAATTTTTTGACTTAAAATTACACGTATTGTATAACACAACATGAATTTTGGCTCATCCCTATTGCTAGAACCAATTTGTTGGATTGAACAGGAGGCTACTGCATAGACAACGTTTAAAAATGCCGCCTATTGTACCAGTTTTTTCATTGGTCAAATTGTGAAATATATCGATTTTACGTAATCATGTCAAATCTGAACTAAAGTAGGCCCAAATAGTGTCTTTCCTGTCTTCGATTTACTCCAATTTTTTACGGCCACCGAGAATTTTCAAATTCAACACACATTGATTTATTTCATAAATCCGTTATTAGTTTAAATAGTCAGTTTTATTGGGGATAAGTTAACTTTGTATGACAATGATTTCTGAACTATGCTCATTATGAAGGAACGTTTTTGCCACTTTATTTTACAAAAAACTGCGTTTTCTAATTTAAAATACGCCAACTACGTAACTAACTGAACTGCATTGTGGCAAAATACCACGCTCGTTTTTCTTCCGTTTTTGCCACGCAAAAAAATGAAATTAAATACCATCCAAGGATGATTAATCAAAGTGTAGCGGTGTGGCGGCATTTGCCTTTATTATTAAAGCCTTCGAATGAGTAAAGTGTGGCAAAAGGCACTTGTGCAAAATTTGCGAAGGTTTCATGCGGTCAGTTTTTAGTGTGTCTGTAAAAATTTAGGAATGCAATTAAAAATGTTTACAAAGCTAGAATTGCTGAATTTTTCTTCCCGATGGACTTGTGAAGCCGTGATGCTTTATTTATGTTGTTAAAATTGCCGTTTATCTAGAGACAAGAGCGCCAAAGACGGTTTAAATCGGAACGTAGTAAGTGGTGCTGCATTAAAAATTAAGTTTTGAAAAAAAATGCTACTTAGTGCTTCGTTTGATGGCCCGTTACAAATGTCCTGAGCCGCTTTGGCAGCCAATAAAATCGCTAGCACACACAAAGCTATGATGAGCCAATAAAATGTTACACGGTCGATATGAATATGTGGAGTGGTGTGCGTGGACGAATCCAAAATTAGGGAATACTATGGAACAAAAGTTCTGTGAAGTGTTTACCTCAAAGTGATAAAGCTAGTTGAACGATGACAGTAATTCAGGATTCAATGATTAAGAAAGCTCCTTCTGGTGATTGAATTCCACCACCTTATCCCAGGCTTTTCGATCCTTCGAAAATTCTTAAGGATCTTCCAGGCTGGACTTTCTTAATTATTTGTTTTGAACACTCTTTAAGCAGTCGTGCAATTGGTATTTGCAATAACTCATACATTTGATACGAAATGTCCATTAGGACTACTCGACAATAATTACCTTAAGTTGGCTGGCCAATTTCGTCTCAATTTATTGATTTTCATATGCCTGACTGAGGCTGATTGGTTGATGTGGCCTAAATTAAACGATTTTGAAGCCGACTAAAAGAGGTATTGTTATAGCAACGTGATTGACAAAAATATTTAATAAGCTTTGTTCCGTTAGCCAAAATAACACAGATAAACTTCACAACACCTAACTATGTATCAAATTCGGCTTGTTAGACAACGCGATGAGTGATGTCGGCTTGATAGTAAACACTAAGTAAATGTTTATGCATCTCCGAAGTCGGATATGTATTAATGAGATTCTCGCAGAAAAATGCTTCCTTTGTTGGCTCATAATTGAATTTGCAGAGCCAATTTTCCTGTTATCTTACCTTAAGCACTTTCGCTAAGGCGATGTTTGCTAAAATCGAATAATATGTTGTACCAGTCGCAAAAAAATTAGGTGCTTTATTGGCACAAAATGAAAGCTATCAGCCACTGAAGCTAGAAGTTAACGTCCAATTATTAAATTATCGTTCATTGTTCTCTACGTAAAAAACGATACCGTTATACAGTTATGAGGAGATTGCGGATTTTGGCATATAATTAAGTTATTGTTTGAATATGGCAGTGTTGTATTCCCCTAGCAATAGGTGTTTAATGCGACAAATTTAAATTTCTGTTCTTAGTACATCCGCTACACTGTTTACATCCGCTAAACTGTTTCAAATCGGATGCTAGCTAATTTGCTTTCTTAAGCCTGAACGCTTTGAAGTTTAATGGCTGCATTTTGCTACCAAAAAACGCTTCTTTTCCTCCGTAGAAGCCATTTTTTCTCTGGTTTTAAATCAAAACATCCATTTCTGGCATAAGTTGAACTAATGCTTTGACTGAATTTGGAATCTAGTTCACTTTTACTAAACTCTCACCCTTTTCGAAGAAAAATTACACCGACATTAGGTGCATTATTGATTTTAAGTAATGCCTCTCACCTACTGGTTTGTTTGACTACTTTGGCATTTCTTAGATTCTCGTATACTTCGTTTAAATCATGCCTTCTTGAGCAAAAATTAAAACAAAACTATCCACTGCATTCATATCTAGAGCGATTCACTTCCATAATTTAATTTGACAAATTTCTTTGACTCAAATACACAAATTATGCACATTAATCATCGAGTTACACCAGTAATCTTGCTTTTAACAATAAATTTTAAAGCTCTCTGTGCTGAGTTTAATTGGCTGGAAATTCAGCAATTGTTGACTCACTTTGACATCTTTCTTGCCATAAGTTCGGTCACGTGAATTTATGGAGAATTAGTCCTGTCAACACCGGAGGCGAGAATTCATTAAGCAAGAACAATTTGATCACAGCTAAGTCAATTCCCGTCAAAGTTGGACCCAAATGGGGATGTTTATGCAGTTGGTAGATTTTTATCAAGGCTCAAAAAAGTGCAACATCTGGTGAATATGGTGGATTACGCATTACTTCCGACGCCAAATCCAGTATAAAGTAACATCATTGTGGAGGTGAATAACATGCTTAGAGCGGTGATACCCGGAACCTATGGTCACATCGTTAAATTTTTACCACATGTCCTAACTGAATTGTTACATCAGCATTAATTTCACAGCAGTCCACGTTGGTTTACAAAACGTTTGTCCCAGAACAACGCACGTCACCATCAAATACCAAACGTGTAGCCCTATTGGCTACGTTAACTTGGCGGCACGATTGTGTTTTCGGATTCAACCGGGCTGCAATCATTGCACTTCAGAAACAAAGACAAGATCTTCACGAGATAACTTTTGTGTTTCAGCCAAAAGACTGAGTAATATTTGTGGTACGCCCAATCATAGGAGCCTTGAAATCATTCGCATACTTCGAGTGGGCAATGAGCCAATGGGATGCCGCGCGGTCGATATGAATTTGTGTATGATTGAGCAACTATGCGGAAAGTGCAGGATCTTCCCAGAATACTCACATCGCTAGCATGAGGCTAAACCAGACTTGCAGCAGATCTACTGCAACCAAAGTCGCCATTATCAAAAATAGCTGCAAAATAATAGTTCACTTTTTCCCCAAGCAGACAATTTTTAATTATGACCAACATTCTATTCTAGCTGCGCCCATTTCCTGTGGTCTATGTAGTTATCGCGCCTTAATTACCAAAGGCTGCCACGGTTTAAAACAGCTGACCCTGTAAACCGTTTACCTACCACACAGACGTACTCCTCTGGATTGATCAGAATTTACCCAGATGGGCCTGGCCCGCCATTATCACCACGCAAAAATCATCGGCTATTTTAAGATGTCTATTCATCTTGTGTAATTGGATGTGGAATGACTTTCTTGCGCATTTCGCCAAACTACTTCGGTGAGAAAAAGTGTGTCACTGATCTACACTACCTTTATGCATGAGTTTTAGTTTACAGAATTATCCGACAAGTTGTTACCTGAGACTTTTTCGCCAGTTCGGAGGCACTTGTTGACTTTTCAGGGGCTTCCTTCCAAATTTGAAAGTGTGTAATCTAACTAGGTTACTCGACGACGGATGATGGCTAGACCAGATTGTCGAGTCCACGACCCTGGTCGTTTCCACCCCTCTCCTTTTGAACAAACGTTTTCGCATTATCAAGCAAGTGAACCAACTTCAGACGTCCTTGAAGCAATGATGACGTTTATCAAATCACGTCGTGAGCAATAATATCCAGCACTCACGGTTGTGTCAGGCATCAAAACCCCTCCATGTTTGAAGTATGACACCTTAGTGTGGGCATAACCGGTAGCCGTCCCCGTACCACCTACTGTCCTCGTTAACGTGTGGATTATTTAGACAGAATTTACTTTTTCAGTTCAAAAACAGCTTTTTTCTGGACGTGTTATTTCAATGGTTTCACGAGATTCGTGTCTTTAACAGCCACACATCGGTAAATCCACATTTCGAATCTTTGCATCTTGCACAAATTCTTGAATCGTAGAATGGGACAGATCAATGAAATCAAACACAGTGGTTTCGCAGCTGCAAATAATGCCCACACACAAGACCAACATGACCGTTCAATCTACATATCGACAGCATTATCCTGAGGGCATAACATGTACTTCTTACATTTAGGCCTCACATGACGTGGAGGCAATCTCAGTG